GCAGCTGGAGGTGAGCGGAGCGCCCGGGTGCCGCCCGCACCCCGACGCGGCGCCGGGGGCTCCGGCCCTTTCCCTAACCCGGGTCTCGTCCCCGCCGCAGGAGGCCGACGTCACCCGGGACATCGACAGCACCGAGCTGACCCGCTTCATCTTCTACCGCCTGGACAGCCCGGCCGACCGCACCACGAGCTTCGAGTCGGTCGCCTTCCCCGGCTGGTACATCTGCACCTCGCAGCGCTCCAAGGAGCCCGTGGGCCTCACCAACGCGCTGGGCGAGGTGAACATCACCACGTACCGGCTCACGTAGGGCGCTGCCCCCGCACCAAACCGAACCAGCAGTCACTGGTTTTCAGGCCGTATGTACCAAGTACAAGCCAGTTTTCCCCGCGCGGCCGGGAGCTGCCGCCTTCCCTGCCCCATGGAAGATTTATTTCATGTGAAATAGCAGCTCTGGGCCCTGTGGGCCCGAGTCGCCCTTGATTTATATTTATTTATTGCCTCGGTCTATTGCTTTTAACTTAACATGGCTTTTTAAGGTAACTATTGTATTTTTATTATTTACCTGTCTCAGGAATGTATGTATTTATTAGTGACTGAAAACTATTGAAATAAAAACTTGCCTGTGATTGCATTTCTTGGCTTGTCGCTCTCTTGCGGGGAGGTCCAGGATGAAACGATCTGGAGCTGGGAGTGGGTCCTCCTGGCCCCAAACCAAGCTGGGCGTCAGCAGCAGGAAATTCCCGTGGGTTCAGCTGCTTCTGGGGACTTTTTGGTTCTGTGCTGGGTGTTTTTTGCTCTGTCCCAGCCTTCCTCCAGGGAGCTGGGTACAAACTCAGAGCCTGGGGCCACCGCAGCAAAGTCAAGGGACCATCCCAGAGCCCAGGGACCACCCCAGGCCCCTGGGAATCACAAAGAGCATGAAGAGCACCCAGAGCTCCAGGACCACCCCAGAGCTTTCGGACCACCCCAGAGCTCCATGGACCACCCCAGAGCTCTGGGACCACCCTAGAGCTCCATGGACCACCCCAGAGCTCTGGGACCACCCTAGAGCTCCATGGACCACCCCAGAGCTCTGGGACCACCCTAGAGCTCCATGGACCACCCCAGAGCTCTGGGACCACCCTAGAGCTCCATGTACCACCCCAGAGCTCTGGGACCACCCTAGAGTTCCATGGACCACCCCAGAGCTCTGGGACCACCCTAGAGCTCCATGTACCACCCCAGAGCTCTGGGACCACCCTAGAGCTCCATGTACCACCCCAGAGCTCTGGGACCACCCTAGAGCTCCATGTACCACCCCAGAGCTCTGGGACCACCCTAGAGCTCCATGTACCACCCCAGAGCTCTGGGACCACCCTAGAGCTCCATGTACCACCCCAGAGCTCTGGGACCACCCTAGAGCTCCATGTACCACCCCAGAGCTCTGGGACCACCCTAGAGCTCCATGTACCACCCCAGAGCTCTGGGACCACCCTAGAGCTCCATGTACCACCCCAGAGCTCTGGGACCACCCTAGAGCTCCATGTACCACCCCAGAGCTCTGGGACCACCCTAGAGCTCCATGTACCACCCCAGAGCTCTGGGACCACCCTAGAGCTCCATGTACCACCCCAGAGCTCTGGGACCACCCTAGAGCTCCATGTACCACCCCAGAGCTCTGGGACCACCCTAGAGCTCCATGTACCACCCCAGAGCTCTGGGACCACCCTAGAGCTCCATGTACCACCCCAGAGCTCTGGGACCACCCTAGAGCTCCATGTACCACCCCAGAGCTCTGGGACCACCCTAGAGCTCCATGTACCACCCCAGAGCTCTGGGACCACCCTAGAGCTCCATGTACCACCCCAGAGCTCTGGGACCACCCTAGAGCTCCATGTACCACCCCAGAGCTCTGGGACCACCCTAGAGCTCCATGTACCACCCCAGAGCTCTGGGACCACCCTAGAGCTCCATGTACCACCCCAGAGCTCTGGGACCACCCTAGAGCTCCATGTACCACCCCAGAGCTCTGGGACCACCCTAGAGCTCCATGTACCACCCCAGAGCTCTGGGACCACCCTAGAGCTCCATGTACCACCCCAGAGCTCTGGGACCACCCTAGAGCTCCATGTACCACCCCAGAGCTCTGGGACCACCCTAGAGCTCCATGTACCACCCCAGAGCTCTGGGACCACCCTAGAGCTCCATGTACCACCCCAGAGCTCTGGGACCACCCTAGAGCTCCATGTACCACCCCAGAGCTCTGGGACCACCCTAGAGCTCCATGTACCACCCCAGAGCTCTGGGACCACCCTAGAGCTCCATGTACCACCCCAGAGCTCTGGGACCACCCTAGAGCTCCATGTACCACCCCAGAGCTCTGGGACCACCCTAGAGCTCCATGTACTCTAGGCTTTTCAGGGACAGCGTTCTGCGCTAAGGGAACCAGGGATTCCACGGACCAGCTGCGATCCCTGGCAGACAAGCGGGTCCCCTCGGCCTCCCCTGGCTTCACCCTCAACCAGGCCCCGTGGGCACCATTTTGGCCCCCCAGAGCCATTTTGGGTTCCCACTTCCACCCCAGTGCTGTCATCCCACTGCCCTGACCCAACAAGCTGCCACATACACACGCAAGGCACTGGACACTAATTAGCGGGAATTAAGTAATTGGGTTTAATTTATTTGCCGAATCTACCGGCTCTGATCCCGCCTCCCCAGGAGCCCCCGCCCGCGCCTCGCGCTTCCCCTTTAAACGACTGGCCACGCCCCCTCCGGGCCACGCCCCCGGGCCACGCCCTTCTCATTTCCCCGCCCCCACGGGCCCTCGGCGTTGTCCCCGCCCCTCCG